TTGTGGCATGTGCATCTTCTCTGCATTGCAGGGCTAGTCATGCAGTTCTCTTCACATATTTAAAAGAGTTTCCAATTTACAGATGACATCTTGTCCTTCCAGCAATGAATGTGCATATCAAACTTAATGTTTTGGAAAAGATCTTTGACAGGTTTCTAAATTCCAAGTGCTTTCAAGCTTTTATTTTTTGTCCCCTCCTTAAATATCCTCTCTGTTGCAGGTTCACTGCCCCTAGTCATTCACAAGTTATGTATGAGAAACTTCTGGGAGAGAAGGGTCTGGTGCAGAATCGGTTTGCTCAGGAACCTTGGTCGCCCATGGTACATGCTCAATTCATGTGGGCTGATGGGGGTAGGGTGGGGTGGTGAAAGCATTTCCCTTATGCTCCTGCACATATTGTCCACAGGCTGAGCTGCAAGGTAGAATAGCTTCTCCAGCTTCCATAAGAGTGGGAAATGGGAGGGGTTCTGATACTGCCTCTACTTTTTCAGGAAAGTAAAAATGAGCTGGGAAGAAGTCTATTTGCACACCTTACACTAGCAGGGAATCAGAGGACATAGTTGACTTGTTCAATTCCCTGCTGCTTCTTACTCAGGTTCATGAGAGGCATAATCTAGCCCTTAGTCAGCAGCAGAACATTGAGGCTCATTGTAGCCCTCAATGAAGGACTGATGTTGAGGTCAAACGGTCTTCCTTGGAGTTTCCTGAGCACTTTGGATTGAGAGCCATTCATTTTGCTACATCCTTGAACAGGGATATGAGGGGTGGGAGGAGGAGAAGAAAGCGACTTTCTCCTCTTCCACAAAGTTGTTGGAATGAGCAGTTCCATAGCAGCCCCTGTACACAGGAGCCGTTTTGCTGGTGGCTCTAGAGCGGGCTGTTTAAGGAAGTCAGGAAGACCCTGTACTCCATCTTTGCTGTTTGGTTGCATAAGCACAACCTAGTTGCTGCTTAAGATCAAGAGCCTATTCTCTTTCCACTTGTGATTATGGAAGAATTCCCATTGACTTCACCTCACTAAATCTTGCTGGCTTTCCATGGGTCTTTATGAAATTAGCTGGACTTAATTGCATGAACTGGACTTGGACCAATGAATGGAGGAACAGAACTTGCAGATGTAGTGTATAACAAAATGCAGTTTTAATCATGCGCTAACTGGCTATATTCAGAGTGTCTGCACACAGTTCCTTAAGGGCCTTGGTTAAAAGTTATGTTGAACTTTATTCTTCAGGGACAGCATTATTATAAAAGCTAGAGAACAGCTTGGGTCTTAATGTACATGGGAAATACGAGTCAAAGACAGTGATTGCTCACTGACCTTCCCTAAGAAAACCTCACTGATATTGTCATAATTTAACAGCCAGCAGAGAAGTCAATCCTAGTCGATCCAGCTACCTCTGAAACTACACCCCACCCCTGCCATGTCACAAGTGATGCTGTCATTCTGAAGTTTCTGCTGGAGATCATTTCAGGCCATGGGATTGTATTATTTGTGATTAGGCAATGGCCCAATGACATCACAGTAATGAAGGCCTTCTGAAGTGTGCTATTCAGTCAGAGGAACCAATGTCATTAGCACCACTCTCATATTGACATGGTTGTCCCAGTGGGACAGCAAAGCTGGAGGGAGGGAGAAGAGACAACACAAATCAGTTAGATATGTGAAACCTTTCCATAGGTTTAAAGGGTCAAGACTTCACCCTTATCATAAGCTCTATTCAAGGCACCCCTAGGAAGACTTGAGGCACCCCTGGATAGATCTGAGGTGTCTTGGAAAAAGTCAGCTCTTAGTTTTTACTCTTTTGGACTACAGAAACATAATGCAGCAGAACAACTGCACCAAAGAGCTCAGAAAGACCACAACTATGGATTTCTATTTGAAATCTCTTTATTTTGCGATTCTAGTTTGTAAACCCAACAGTGCTAGCATTGTGTGGCATCCTGCAGCACCCCTGAAAGGATGTGAAGGCACCCCAGGGTGATGTGGCACCCCAGTTGAGAAGCACTGCACTAGCCACTGGCTTATCCTAGTCCCAGTCTCTGCATTCAGAAGACAGCAGTGTTGTGAGCTCAGGAGTCCTTTTGGCAACATGGGGAGTGGAAAGCTGGGTTATGATGCTAACTCTTCCCTAACCCCTGAAGTTTGGGCTTTCCAAGAAAAGGAACTGAAGAGAAACAATATCTGTGTGACAGCTCTTGCCCTTGGGCTCACTGGTGGTGCAGCTCAACACTGCTCCAGCTGACGGTGCAGTATGGCAGTGACACAGGGGCAGAAAGGTTTTGAGAGCAGGGATTTTGGGTTGGGGCAGGTGAGGTTTTGGTCTGTGGTAGCAGGGGTTGCCTCACACACTAAGAAAAGTCTTCAGGATCTGCTTTCAAGCCATGTAGGAGCAGTTCCTAGATACTAGTACCAGCGCATGCAGCCCAACAGCCTGCTGTGCAGATGGTCAAGCTACGAGGCTCTTGGGGTCTCTGGGCACTTTTGCATGTGCTCCAACGCATTGATTAGAGCGCATTGGAGTAGACTTAATTAATTGATTCATCAAGTCTGCTGGAGCATTCCAATCAGCACGCTCCAGCGGGCCGCAGTGTCTCGTGTATTCAGTGCCCCCACGTTTCAAAATGGCAGCAGGGGTGCTTTAACTAAAGCTTGTCAAACGCCTCCCCTCCACCTGCACCCTGGAGCATGTATATAGGTGCCCTTTCTGCCCTCAGGCTACCAAGGGCCCTTGAGGGAGACTCGAAAGAAAGACAAAACCTCATTCATAATCCTAAAAATGCATCTCATCTCACTTCAAAGCGGAAGGCTTCCTTTCCCAGCCTCCAGTAACATGAAGGCATATTGAACCGAGGCCACAAGAACACCTGTCCCTGGCAACATATTCCCTTTTTTGAAGACTGAATACAGGAATGGTCTGTTTGAAGGCATGTTAGGAGGATATTCAGCTATTTGGACTCACTTGTGACAAAATGGGAAAGTGAAAGAGAATTGGCCCTTCCTGGATAAAAAGATGAGTCCTTCCTAGATTCAGAGGGCTAGAAATCCCGCAGGATCTTCAACAAACACCCAGGGGAGCTTTCTAGAGTGATGCAGATTCTAGCTTAGAATTGTTTCATTTACTGATTTCATAATTAGCTGTGTCAATTAAATGACATGGGAGTAGCTGTCTTGTATTTACATATTTTCCTGTTTTAGCTCATCATAGTGCAACTCTTTTAAAAATTTTCTGTAGATTTTTCTATCTACACTTACTGGAGAGTATGCTATATATGTGATATAAAACATTTGTTTTATAAACTTTCCTTCCTTTGTGTCTGCTATTTATGTTCCCGACCCAAAGCCCATATAAGTCAATTTTATTTGGTTGGCTTCTTGGTTTCGTTTCCTTCGCCCCCACCGCTAATCATGATTTCAGGAAGTTTTGACTCAGGCCCATATCTATGAAGGCCAGAACAGGAGGGAACAAGCCTAATCACACCGTGCACTGAGTTCACTTTATAAGTCATGGAGAGAGACTACTCTGAACCACAGTCCACAGATCCCTTAGCTACAGGCTGCCTCTGCACAGGACAACACACACACACAAGCAAAGAAATGGAACAACACACACAAAGTCATTGTGTTCAAATGTGCAATTCTCCCAATGACTGCAGTTCCCAGGTGTATGAAGTGTTCCTCTCCTCCCACTTCCAGAGGAGAGAAGAAATCACAGTTTTCAAAATATGTAACTGGAGCCTCAGAGAAAAATGAAAGGAACTTTGCAAGCATGCACAAAATGCAGATAATTATGAAATGAATAAGGGAAATATTCCTCCTTGCAGGGGGAAAAAAACCAAAACATGTTTAACTTGATTTTTACTGTGCTAAGGAGCACGATCTAAATTGAACTCTCCCTCTATAGTAAGGCAGCTGGAGGTCAAATAGTTCATAAATAATAACTTTCAGAGGATATGAAGCTTTTCTCCAGCTTTCCCCCCCATGGATATAAGCAGCATGTTTTATCAGGCAAATAGTCCATTGCTGGATAGCTATCCCACTGGAAGGAGGAGGAGGAAGAGAGCTTCTTCTTTTTTTTTTTTTTAAATTTATAAAGATTTTTTTAATTCACAGAGTATCAGTTTAGGTCAGTCTCATTCATGTAAATTTTAGCTGCTGCAGCCCCTGCCAGAGCTAAACAGACACAGAGACCACTCTTTTTCAAGGCTTAGTGGTAGGATTTGAGCACCTACAAATCTGGAATAAGTCACTTAACTGCTTTCATTGGAACGATGCCTTTGTTTCCTTTTCATCCCTAAGAGATGAAATAAATTGCATTGTATGTGGAGCAGAAGCACTTACACTCACATCCTGTATACAGGTAAGTGATCTGCTGTCAAGCTGCAGGAGGAACTAAGTCTAGTCTCAGTTTTGCTTAGTGACTCCCAATTTTAGATACACTTATGCACACACTTGAGAGGGCATTGGGCCAGCACTGTTAAGAAGTGGTGAGACCCAGGGGAGAGAAATAAGCTACCTTGTGTTTCTGCTGCTGCCAGCTCTTGAATGAGCATTTTGGCAGTGGTTAAGAAGAGAGGGGGGAAAGCCACAGAAGATGAAGGGAAATGGGATTTAAAAGAGTGACACAGTAACATAGATGGTCAGTGTATTAAATTAACAGACAGGACAATAAGGCAGGTAGCTTCTCTGACTCCAGTTTCAGACTATTTTAGTTGCAAGGTAGATGAAAGAAACATCGTGTAAGAGAGGATAGCTGGCAGGCTATGTACACTGGAAAATTTCCATGTCTTCACCCAAGAGTGTAAACACATACCTCTATTGGCATTAGCATAAATGATCAAGGTGACACTACCTTCTTCTTAAACACAGATTGTTACTGTAGTTACCTGTTTTGTGTACTTACCAAGATGCAGGCACACAACAGGGAGGAGGGTGGAAAGCAAGCGAGTAAGTGCTAGGGAGGGGAAAGAAAGCAGAACATGTGAATAAAGTTACAGCTCACCTTTTGAATTCCTGGACTCAGATCCATTCCAAGCTTTGCCCTGGTCTTCTCCTCTTCTGTATTTTAAGATGTCAGGTCTTTTAGTCAGGGAAGTTGACTGTAGGAGAATGCTACAGTGTATACTCCTGGCAGCAGTCTGTTAAATGACTTTTGTTTGCAAATTGCATGGGAGGTAGCTCTCAATACTCCAATTCACAACTTGAGTGCTTGTCCACAGCCTGCCTGAACCATGCCCCTTTAACTGGAGTCTACAACTCCCTCTAAAATCCTGCCAGCCAATCCGAGGTGGGACTCCAACTTTTCCACCCAATGAGGGAGTGTGACTGTATCCTCAGGTTCTTTCTTTTGCTTTAACCCTAAAGGGAGTGGGAGGGAGAAGGAAGGAAGAGGAGGAAGCATCCAGTCCCAGCTGTGGAGTTTTTGCTGCACATCTGTCCCACACACACCACAAGCAGGGAAACTGAAATTCCAGTGCTGAATCATATCTCTCCTTTCAGCCTTTTCCTTTAAAGGAAGAAGGAGGAAGCAATGTACTTGGAAAGCCAACTCATTCAGAGCAAAAGAGAGTGTGTGGATGTTTAAAAAGGAGAATCAGAGATATTTTTAGTCCCTTATATCCCAAAATAAATGTTGATGCATTCTTCTTTCCAGTAATTGATCCCTCTCCCCTCAACTCATCTCTTTGTGAAAGAGGGAACCTTACAAAGCCAAGGTGTTGTGGACCCGAATGCTATTTTTTCAAAGCATGCTAACATTAATTGTATTTGAGTCCAGAGGAGGGAAGTGTGTGGATGAGAGAGGGCTGGAAGGGTTACAGGCTCCAAGAGTGTCTTGGGGTGATTTGTTATCTCCTGGAAAGAGGACAGGTCACTAAATTAGTTGGTGGTGAAAAAGCATCCTTCAGATAAAGCCATGTGTGAGCTGCAAATTCACAGTTCTATTTTATGCACTGGCTTCCCATTCAATGCTGGGCAAGAGGGAGTTGTCTTCCCAAGGTTTTAGCACTGATCAGGTGGTAGTGTACTGGCTCCATATCGCAGCCACTAGAGGTAAAATATTTTGGAAGAAGAAGGGTCCAAAGATGTGATTCTCTTTCAGTTTTTATGAATACTGGTGCCTCTGATAGAATAACTGTCCTTTAGCCCCTGGTCCTTTTGACCTGCAGTTTTAGGATCTTTACTACTTTTAACACAGTTCATTGCTGCTCTTGCTTTGACAAAGAGATTTAAAGACAAAGCCCCTTTGTCCAGGTGAAAGTCTAAGTGGAACCCATATGTTTGTGTTTTCAACTTCCTTTCCCAAAGTCTCTCCGCCTCTCCCCCCACCACCCAATGTTTCCTGGGGCTCCCACTTCCTAATCAGTGACTGGATCCAGAAGCCATGAAATGAGTAATTCTACTAGCAGTGGCTCTTAGCTTCTTATGTGAACTATATCAAAATAGCAAAGAGCAGGATCCAGTTTCTTTGTTATGTTCTGAAATCAAAATAGACTTTTCAGCGGTAAAGAAAAACAGCAGCTTTTCTGAACTGAATGGCTTCCCTCTAGATATTTTCTTTAAAAAAAAAAAAGAGTAAACGTAATCAAACCTCTGTCAATGTAGCTTTTAACTTGCCATTGTGTTTTACTTGTATTTCTTCCATGTGTTCTTGTAGCACGGAAACAATTTTGCGGTTTGTTTTTCCAGTTTTAGAATTGAGCCTGTGTTCATTTTGAACTGCTTTGTGCTTCTGAGTGTTGCTTAAAATCAAGGCCATGTCCCTTTTCTCACCTGTTTCTGCACATGATCCCAAGCAGGATTTATTAGCATTTTATTGCCTTTTCTTCTCAGTGTCCAAAGGTGCTTTTGAAACATAAGGTATGTGACATGGGTAAGAAGAGACACAGAGAAGTGAACGTGCTCACGTAAAGTCTTAGGGTGAGCAGATTCTGGACGCCTGGGATACCAATCTTCTTCTCTAACCATTGGAAACATAGTTCACATAAGAAGCTAAGAGCTGCCTGCTAGCAGAATTATCCATTTAGCTCCTGGGGCAGCACCCTATGCTTTTATTGCAGAAAGTCGCAGGAGAAAAACCTTGAAGACTTTGCATTTGCACCATGACTAGCATAATGACTCCCTGAACCTGCTTGGGGTCCTAATAAAAATCTGTCTCTATATATAAAGGGCTTAGTCCATCTGTCTGTGTGTCTGTCTGCCTGTAACGCTCTTGCAGGAAGGGGGGGCATGGCTCCAGCCAGTGCTTCGTCAAAAATGCCCGTCAAGAATGACGGGCGGAGTGAGTCAGGTGGATGCGGAGCTGGGGGAGTGCGGGTGGGTGGCGTGGACCAGCTGGGCCGCAGGTGGAGTGGTGGGGGGAGGGCGGTGGCACGGGGCCGGATGTGTGTGTTGTGGGGGATGGTACGCTGCTGGATGTGGTGCAGCGGCAGCATGGGGTGGTAGGTGGTGGTGGCGGATCCTGTGGGCAAGCTTCCCCTCTTCCCCTGCTCCCGGGAGGTGGCGGCAGTGCGGGTTGGAGATCATTCTTGACAGACAATTTGCTGGTTAATAATACTGATACATCATTAAACTATGAACGCAGACTGTATGAAGTGAGCAGTGGCTCATGGCAGCTTATGCCTTTCTGATTCAGGTATTCTACATGGTGTACCTCTACCTTGCCTTCTACCTGAACTGAGACTAACACTGTTAACTACCTGGCACTGACAGATGCAAGACCAACATCTTCTGGCTTTCCTCTGAAGCCCTCGAGATGTGTGTAGCCTTGGTTCCCAATAGCATCAGTGGTAATTGAGACTTCCTCCTAGTAAATAATTTCATTCATTCATTCATTCATTCATTCATCAGAAATAACCCAAACAATTGATAAAATGTAGGGTGCCACAGTGATGAGGATGATATAAACACTAGACCCAGGCTGGTAGTGTCCATGAAGCCACGAGACATGCTTTTTCTGACACTTTTACCAGATAATTTTAAACATCTTTCATATATATTAGAAAGGGCATGTGAGAAAATCTAGACAGATAAAATATCCCACTGATCAAAGTCTAGCCTACAGTTCATGTAGAAAAAGCCCAATGTAGGAAAGCTGCCTGCTGTATTACCTCTAACCATGGTTGCATTTATTGTAACTAACCATCGTATAATGGAAACTCCCTAATACCCGATATATTGGCTTTTAAATAAATATACTCAGTGTTCAGGTGTCCTTGTTATCGCGTACATTCATCACATGAGAACATGATTTGAAGAAATGCTTCTTATAAAACCTGATCTATTTTGCCTAACACCAAAAGGCACATATCAGATATGCCTTAAAACTCCTGTCTTCCTTTGGCTATGCTCTCATAGTTTTATGCTGGGTTTTATGACTTATTTACTATTTCTTCTTTATTTAGGTTTAAACAGTCATCATGGAGCGCCACATACAAAAAACTCTAGGTGCCCTGACAGTTAAACAGTCTTCCAACAACACACCAATTACTACTCAGAAGCAGCTTGTGGGGTGCTTACACCATCCTCTAGAGCATCTGGTGTTAGCCACTACCAGAGACAGAATCCCAGACTGGGCTCTCGAGTCTAATGCAATAGGGCCATTCATAGGTACATAAACAAACCTAGTCTGCCAGCAATGTTAAACAATCATAAATCGTGTCTGTGTGAGGGTGAGATGTACTCATGATGCAAGAGTCGGAGCTGAGCAGTGACAAATGCAGAAGCAGAAGCATTTTTGGTAAACATCAAAGGAAATTAAAATAAAGTCAGTACTGAAAAACACTCGAATGCTCAAACTGTGTCACGGGAAGGATTCCAAAGTAAGTTCTCACTGACTGCTTCTGAATAATGAGTCTGTGCTGTACTTGGTTGCATACTATAAAGAGACGAATATCTTTCTCTGACTAAACACAGTTAAATCTCTGTAGTAATAGACTCTGGAAATTGATGACAAATTGACGACGGATCAAGATGCTCAATTATGAGAAACGGAGCAGCAAGAAATCCTGGGCTTCCTGTTGATTCACCAGCAGTTTTTTTCCAGAACAAAAGTGTCCCCGCAGAGGTGTCATCAAGCTATTGCTTCCTCAAGTATACTCAGAGGTCAACTGAACTATGAAGACAGAAGCCTGCATCACAGGCAAAAAAATAGTTGCCAGCTGATAAACTGTCAGTAGAAAGTTGAAATTAGCAATAATGTTTTAATTAAACAGAATCCCTTCCTTACTCTGACAAGACACTGAAGCTTTCGGTTAGACTTCCTGACTCTCTTAAGTTCTTTTTTTATTGATTTGAATCAAATTACTTTGAATTTTATTATAATCAGCAAAATTAAGGAGATGGGAAATGCTATATTAGGTTAACTGTGGGGGGCCAGAGAAAGGATTTTTTTCCTTTCTAGTACATGCTCTTTTACAATTTAAAATGCTTTAAGCAATACAAAGATCCTAGGCCTGGCCCTACTCTTTATTAGATGGATAGAACTCAGATGAACTTAATAGCTTAAATGAGGATTACAACTAACTTCCCCAGGTGAAAAGGAGAAGAGAATTGATGTAAATGTGGTTACTGCTTTGGCAGGCAAGGTTCTTTGAGTAGATGTGATATCTTTTATTAGACCAGCTGAGTAGTTGGGGAAAAGTTTTCAGCAAGCTTTCAGGTGCAGTCACCCTTCTTCAGCAATAGGGAGTCTCTGCTGGTCTGATACTCCAAGGAATGAGAGAAGCTAAAAGTGGGGCAGGATATCAGTGAGAGTGTAAAAAGGAAGGAACAGGGTAACATAGGACCCCTAATAAACAAGAAGGAGCAATTAGTGA